TATAATAAATTTAATTTTTTTTATTAAAAAAATTTTTTATTGTATAATAAAAAGTGTTCACAATAATATGGGCACCCTCTGTATATATTATTAAACAATCGATTATTTATTACACATGTATGCTGTATATATCAATATCGTAATAATATTATATACCATGAAAAAAATATTTGGTTTGCAATATTTTTTCATGCTTTATGAAATCGATGGTAAATTTTATTTTATTTTATTTTATTTTTAAACAAACCCTAATTTGCTATATTAATAAATTAATAAATTAGAATTTTTTATTTCTCTAATTTATTGCTATCAAACGAAAAATTCGTTCTTATGTGCACTAGTTATCAAATGTCTCATTTTTTTAATCTTAATCAAACTTTACTATTGTAAATAATATTATCACATTAAGCCTTTGATTTTTAATAAATATTTTATTGATAATGAAATTCAACATTCGATTTAAAAATTATTTTGAATTCCATTAAAATTATTAAAATAAATGATAATGTTAAATAAAATTATAAAATAGCAAAAATAATTACAGTACAGGGAAAAAACGATGATTAAAATAGACGATCATATTATTTAATTAAAAACTTGAAAATTGAATTTACATAAATTTTATTGAAGTTCGTGGTTTGTTTTTTTTTTTTGTAAAAACTTTATTGTTCAAATAAAAAAATATGTTTATTTAATATTCATGACTGATTAAAAATTTTCTATATCAGATTGAAATATTTTTTTGATATTTAGTGAAGAAACAATAAGCCTTAGTTTAAATTGGCAATTAGTAAAATCATTTATTGGTGGTATATACGTAATTCCCATTAAAATGATGTAAAATTTTCATCGATTTCAATATTGTACAGTACTGCATGATGACTTTTTTACTAGATTTTATAAACATACGACATTCGTTATAAATAAATTTGTTAAGATAATTTTATAATTTTTTTAATACTCTACGCGCTAATATATATTTTGTAAAAAAAAAAAAATACAGTTGAGGATGATTTTAATTGTTCTCTGTTTTTAATACCCTTCGCTGATAATTTTGATAAACAAATGTATGGATAGAATTTAGCTATAATTTTCACGATTCTTGGAATTTAACATTTTGCCTCAATGATATCATTGTCTATTTCTGGACGTTAGATCCACATCGTACCGGTGTTCATTAAAAGAACAACCTTCAACATTTCTTTCTTTATGACACATTATACATGTTTCTCTACATCCGACAACACCGGCATATTTGACCACCTCTTTTTCACAGCATTCATATATTTCGGTACAACCTTTGCTATTCTTGTCTTTACCACAACAATTATAAATAAATTTGCAGCCTTCGGATTCCTTGTCTTTTCCGCAACAATCGTATCTTTCTTTACATGGATTCGGGGAATTACAACAATCATATATCTTTTTGCATCCTATCTCACCTAATGACTTGAGACAGCAAATGTACGAACACCCTTCGGAATCAGGATTTGCTCCGCAACAATCATATTGCTTAACTTCCAATAATTCTGGACTAAACAGTGCAACCACCAATAATGAAAATCCAAATAACGAAAATTTAAAAATTGTTCGATCTTTTTTAACCTTTTTGATCCCGATATTTCCGCTATGGATCTTTGTAGCACTAGTGTGAATGTATTGAAGTTCTCCTGAATGATATCCCGAGACGCCTGCACCTGTATGATGTACTCTTTTGCTACAGGTTTCAGGATGAATGAAATTGTGCTTATCGCTGTGTGTTTTTACAAAAGTGATATGACATTTAAAATTGGCTATTCTTGGGTCTCTGTCTTCGGGACAATTAAGGCACCTGGCACCCCGAAGGACAATGGTAACCAGATGTTGATCGTGCTCTCCCATAAGTTCTTGATATCGCACAAATATGCGCTCCGGATCAAATTTTTTATATATCCTATAAGAAACGACAGTTAGTTAATATTCAATGTCAAAATATAATGTGTGGTATTGTATGATATTTAGATTATCCTACCCGTATTCTTTATTCAACACATAACCATCCATGTTTTCATATAATTTTCTTGCATTTTCATTCATTAGTTCAAAGAAGCAAATTGGAAATATGCTGGTGTTTGTCAGGGGGTCTTTTTTTTGTCGAGAGGAAGCACGCACAGCTTTCAAGGGACCCTGGATGGTTTTTTTCTTGGGATCTTTTCTTTCGATTACAATGATAACATTGTCCCACACATTTCCTTTGTGATATTTAGCGAGAGATTCGATGAACAACGCTTGGTTTCTGTAAATTTGTTCCGACTTTATTTCATCAGAAACGAACCAAAGGATTGTTTGAACCTGCGAAATATTTAATTCATGCAATTTTTGAACTATGTCAATTCCAATTTGGGGATCCACTCGCGTCGTGCCAGTGTCGTTAAGGCCTGGCGTGTCAATGTAAAGATATCCATTTTCACATTTGTAAACAGTTACTTCGCGAGTCGCAGATTCGGAAATAATGCATTCGTTTGTACTAAATATAGTTCGAGTAAAACTTTTTACATGACTTGTTTTACCAATTGCAAGGATACTTTTCAGCATGATCAAACGAACAAGATCTCGTGAGAATTCAACTTCAAAGATATATGGTACTTCTCTCTCTTTGAAAATAAAAATAAACAAAAATCAGTATTCTTTTTATTTTAATTAAATCAAATCAATTTATTTATTATCTACATTTTCTCACCAATGCAGAATTATAATATAATAAGGAGAAAATCCCGTTTCTACGTCTAAAAAATCATGTTTTATATTATATGAATTAATATTAAAAATGAAAATATAAAAGACGAAATGTATTTATATTCTTTAAATAAACATATATGGCATTAATGGAGAATTCAAAGGTCCCGAGCTACTTAATGATTATTATTATGGACTTTGTGAACTCTGGGAATTTTCTCAAAAAAGAAACAAAAAAAATAAGATTAAATTTTATTCTTTTCGCCTTTCTACAATGGTTACGATGTTCATTGATTCCATTTGTAGAAAAATGCGTGACATCATCAAGTGACGACAGTTGATATGTATGGTTTAATGAAAATCATGAAAACCCATTTTCTTTTGTCTAATATTGTAAATTATAGTTAGTCTAAGGAAATAATGCGCCTGCTTCTCTTAAGTAACGTTCACTCGCAAAATAGCATTCTGGAGGATCGTTTCCGCGCGTATGTCGTAAATGGATAAATTGTCTAGTTAGTAATTTTATTGATACAAAAAGAAACAATCCAATTATTACAACCGTTATACTAATGCATTGTAATGTATGCTGTAATCGAGATAGTATAAAAATGAGAGCCATTAAAACTTGTACTGCAAAAAGTGACAATTGTATGCGCATTCATTGACACAATTGTTTAGCAATTAGAAATAATTCGCCAAAATATCATGTCTCTAATCGACTAAGCTGATGAATGGGTATTAGATTAGTTGGTAATGGTGATAAGTTACGCGAAACAAGATGCGTCTTAACGACAGACTTCGTATAACGTGACCGATCATCGCTTCAAACGGCGATTGCTTTACGTACGTAGACAGAGATCCGATAAATGGTAAAATAAACTTTTGCAAACAATGCAGAAATGATAACGAAATTAGTAATACGAATAATCGAATATTACTTCTTATTACTGAACTAGTTATTTTAGCATATTGTAATGCCATTAAAGAAATGAAATATCTCAACCAATGTTGCACTTGATTTTTCATGTCTTGAGTACGTATGTGAAATATTATAAAATTCAAAACAGTAACATAAAATTTTAAAGCGTATTAAATTATAATAATGAACAGTGTAATAATAATTATTTTTATTATTATACAGTACATTGTTATAATAATTGAATTTTTAATTCAATATACTATACAGTATGTCTAATCTTGTTTGTTTGTTCTTATTTTATTAACATTTTATTTTATTATTTTATTTTACATTTTTAAACGATAACATTGATTTTATATTAAACATGATTTGCTTCGTCAGGTTTATTAACATTATTTTTCTATGTTGTGTACAGTATATTGTTGTATGTAAAATTTATCTTAGCTGATTAATTAATCACAAAAAAAATATAAAATCCTTTAACATAATATATTTAATTTTTAAAAAAGATATATAATAATGTGATTTTAAAATAAAGATTATGAACTAAAATTTTTTTGCCTTGAATTTCAAAAAAAAAAATAACCTAGAAAAATATACTTTTAAATATTAATTAAAATAATTAAATAATAAATAGCAAAATAAATTACAAAATTTTTAAAATACTAAAAGATCATCAAACAAAAAATATAACTAAAAAAATAATTTAATAAATCAAGGTATTGTGTATATTTAAACAAAAGATGTTTTAAAAAATCAAAATTAATAATATATTTTAACTGTATAGATTTTTTTTATTAATAGTATTTTGAATATATACAATATAATGCAAATTATAAGATTCAAATATATTTAATATAATTTTATATATAACTCAAAACAAAAAAAAATTGAAAAAAATCAAAATTCGCATTTTATTAATAATTTAATAATTAATTAAATAATCAAAATAAAAATAGACATGCGTTTATTTGGAGATATAAACAATAAAATTAGATAAAAAAATTTTTTAAACATATTAAATTAATATAATCAAATAAAATTAAAAAGAACAGAAATGATTCAATAAAAAAAAACTCTTTTCCATACGATAAAAATTGCTTTTTTAGGAAATTTTGAAAAATGACAAGAAAGTGAAAAGGAAAATGGGTGTCAACCAAGCAACAACATCAAGTGGAGGAAGAGGAACAGAAAGGAAAACGATAACAGCAACCAGAGAAGCAAGAGTGTTGGCAACTACTATTGTCAAAAGAGAACCAGGCAGACCCAAAAGCTTGGATAAAGAAAAAAGAAAAACAGTATCGGTACGAGCAACAAGCATGGACATAAAGAAATAGGGAAGGAAAGAAATGAAAGAAGAGGAGGAAGCAGTAGAGAAAGAAATACAAGAGGTATCGAATGAACAAGAAATAAAGATCAAAGAGGAAAGACCTGAAACAAAGGAAGCAAATGGAAGTATTGTAAGATCAAATATCAGAACAGGAGAAAAAGGATTATATAAAGGAAAGGAAAAGGAACAAATGGATGGGAGGAAACCAAGAAAAGTAGAAAGAAAATTAAGATACACATGTGAACTGGAACTTGTAGCAGGCATAGAATCAACAAAAGTACTAGAGATGATAGAGGAAACATGTATCGTCTTTAACTTTTTCTTGGGAGTAAAAGTGGGAAGAAATATGACAGGAAAAAAGAGAGCAATCATTGCTAATTTTGGTAATTCCATTGACATGCAAGAGGCATGTGATATCAACTTTGATTCAGACGAAAAAAGAGAATACCTAATTCCGGTAAAACAAAGGGACCACTAATTACAAGAGAAAAATACTGTGATAGTCAGGGACATCCCCCTTTCAACAAGTGAAGGAGCAATCAAGGCAGCATTAAGAAAGTTTAGAGACACTTATACCATATATATCTGACCAGTAGAAATGTAGTAAACAGCAACAGTGACATTTAAAAAAGAAAAAGATGCACAAGTACTAGTCGAAATGTGATCAATTCCATTTGAAAAGGAATATTTGAGAATATTGCCAAAATGGAAAGAGAAGGAGGAACTTGCAAAAAGATCCAAATACGTACTCAAACTTGCAGGATTGCCAGCAAGTACTACTGCATATGACCTAGAGGAGATAGCAAGAGAAACAGGAGGAAAAACCTTGTATATCCTAAGAACAGGTTTCAGATACTTAAGGGAAATATTCGCATATATTGCTTTCGAAACAAAGGAGCAATTAAAAGCAGTAGAAAAATAAACCTTCAAGCTGGACAGAACAACAGTCAATTTCGTGAACCAATATGAAAGACTATGTTACAAATGTGGACAAAGTGGACACATTGTTTTTCAGTGTGAAGAGATGAGAATTCAGCGAGACAAATCCATCGCACAAATAAAATTTGTGTCAATACAATCGAAATTCAGAAAGGGCCAGAAAAGGAGGCACCCATATCCTTCGCAAAAATCTTGAAAAAGCGAAGCAGATCCAGATCAGCATATAAGAAAGAAAATAAAAAACAAGAAGGGATAAGGAAGAGGTTAAGTAACCTAGAAGAAAAAATCAAGAATATGGAAAACAAAATTAATATCTTGTAGAAATGGTGGATAGCAGTACAAGAAGAGCAAAAAGAAGCAGAACAAAAAAATAAAGAAGAAGAAGAGCAACAAATACAGTATCAGAATGCAGAAGAAATGAATATCAAGGAAGATGAAATTCCTTTGACAATATACAAGGCAATCAATGATGAAATGGCGGAAAGACAAGATAAACTAGAGAAACAAATAGAGCAGATAGGAAGAATATTAATAGAATTGTTGGAAAATGGTCAGGCTGCAATTACAAAAAAGAAACAACAGTCACAGAGACAATAGGGAAGAAACCGCACCATAACAAACCACAAATAAAAATATGACACTACAATAAGAAAACAGCAAAAATAATAAAAAAAACATCAATACATACAAAGAAAAAAGAACAAATGTGGAAAATATAAAAATCACGACAATAAATATAAATGATTTAAATGAAGAGTTCAAAAAACAACAATTGCAACACTACTATCACCATGGTGACATAATCATAATAGGAGTATCTGATACCAAATTCAAAAGTATGACAAACAAAAAAACAATGGAAGACAGTAAATATAAAATATTTTGGGAATACACTGAGAAACATTCAGGGGGAGTAGACCTAATAGTACAAAGAGACTGGGCTAAACATATTGGGAAGATAACAAGATAGCAAGGAATGATTCTGGCCATAGAACTAATCTTCAAAGAAAGACAAAACATAAGAGTAATACAAGTATATGTTCCATTACAACTAAACAAGAAAAGGAAGGAGATGACAAGAGAAATGCAAAAATTTTAAGAGAATGGAGAAGGAGACAAGTAATGGGTATAATTGTTATGGGGATATAAATACAACAACTAAGGATGATATAGATAGAACAGGAGGAAAGGAACCAAAGAAAAAGAAAGAATGGATCAAAATGCTTAAAGAATTTGAACTGTATAACAAGTATAGACAGTATAACAAAAACACAAAAGAGTATACTTGGGGCAATGAAACAAAAAGCAGAAGGCTCTCAGAAGACATGAAAGAGTTATGCAAGGAAGCAAATATAATCAATACAAGACAGCAGCTAAACATGGATCACAAGGCAGTGGCTGCAGAGATAAACCTATATACAATTACAAAAGGAATAATAAGGATGCAAACAACAAATGAAAGACAAGTATATGATTACAAGCAGATGAATGAAGTGAAATAGAAAAAGTGAAGGGAAGCAATAGAACAAGTAAGAAGGATAGAAGAAATGGAGAAGCAACCAGAGAATAGGAAAACTGAAGAAGAAATATTGGGAACAGACAATAAATGGAAGACTTTAAAGAAATAATAGAAAAAAGTAGCAGAAAAAACCATCCCAAAAAAGACCCTGAAGACAGACATACAGACTTTTAGTAAAAAGATAAAAACAGCACAATTCACAGACTTCAGA